TATTTTCATGGGACAAAAAATGTATTCATTTTACATGTAGAATAAATCCATTTTCAAAAATGCATAAATGAGAAATACTTACCCACTTAGCTATTGGACACCCATGAGAACTTTTTCCTTCTTTCCCAGTATACACTACTATTTCTATCCTTATTGCATTTCCTTTTTGACCATACCTGAGTATAAAACACAGGAGAGAATGTACTAATTAATTGCAATCTACACTTGAAACCTTCAACTTTTAACATCTTAATAAGTATAATATATGGATGAACAGAAGTTCAAAAATCAAACATGTCTCATAATTTACTTTTGTAAAAAATTTGCACTTGTGTGGTAGATGTTTTTATTTGTTATCAGTTCTATTTGTCCTTAAAGATGACTCTTTTAAAAAAGCCTGACTCCAAGACAAGCAATGGGAATGTAGAGTGTGCAGTGTGAAGGGGGGGTAATTTGACCTATTTCTACTATTATACAATAATATGAAAGTAAGTATTTCTGGACTTATCAAAGACAATTACCCTTGCCTTGTGAGTGCCCAGTTATGTGCCCAACAGCTCATGTGATGAGGGACTGAGCAAGTACACCAGGACACCCCTCTTTTCCTGGGCCCTAAGAAACATCCAACTCATACTGCTGAAAATTTTCTATTCACCTGATGTTTGGTCCCAGAGATAATTTATCTGGATTGAGTCAGGTCCACAATAAAAATGATTTTAACAGGGAAGCATATTTCCTCACCTATTCTCCATGATTTCCCTGACAGCAGCAACACTTGGTCCTGCCCCAAGGTGTGTATAATATGGGCCTTTGTCTTTTTGTATAACTCGATCTGTGGAAGGAATAAGATTATTAGACCCAAAGTTTTACAGATTTGCATAGGGGCAAGGAGGAGCTATTTTTATTTTTCTTTTTCCCCTCAATTCAGAACCATGAATCTTGACAAGGTTTTAATAATTAAAGTCAAGGACAATAGGCCATGGAATTTAACTTGTTAATGTTCTACTCTTCCTGCTCCTAATTCTTTCTTCCTCTAAGATCAGAGGGAAAAAAATATTTTAAGATGTGGGTTGTATTTATACTCCCATCTCCTGCTTTAAAAAAATCTGTAATAATTCAAGTGTAAAATTAAAAGTTATCCAAGAGTAATAAATCTAAAAAGCCTGGCCTCAGAATCTTATTAAAATTGAGCCAAGCAATTTTATTGCTAAGAATTTATTATACTATACACTAGAGCAATTATGTATTTATAAACTAAATGTACAAAAGAATGTTCCTTGTTAATTATTTGTAATATCAAAGAGAGGAATATTCTTAACAGATGTTAAGATGTAGGTTAAATCACCTATTATCAATAACCTATATCAATAACATATAGGTTAAATAAATTATGGAATGCTTATATAGCGGAATATAAGAAAGCTATTGAAACAGTTCTTACAAATATCACAAAATCTACGATTCGATGAATTTAAAAAAGCAAGTGGCAAAAATAGTATGTTCTAAAAGACCTAAATTTTGTAAACGTGGAAACAAAATTAAAATCAGTAATAATGTTAATTCCTATAGAAAACTGTATAAGAGGAATTTTTATCTTCAGAGAATGGGAACTATGAGAAGACATTTCCATGTTTTTGTGCCCTTTGAATTTTTTTTTTTTTTGAAACAGTCTTGTTCTGTCACCTGGCTAGAGTGCAGTGGCATCATCACAGCTCACTGCAACCTCAAACTTTTGGGCTCAAGAGATTCTCCTGCCAAAGCCTCCCAAGTAGCTGGGACTACAGGCACGTGCTACTATGCCCAGCTAATTTTTCTATTTTTTGTAGAAGCTGGCGTCTCGCTCTTGCTCATAGATGGTCTTGAATTTCTTGCCTCAAGCAATCCTCCAGCCTTGGCCTACCAAAGTGCCAGGATTACAGGTGTGAGCTACTGCACGCAGCCCTGTTTGAATTTGAGAGCATAAATTATACATTTCTTGGGAAAACAATACTTTTAACTTGGCCTCTTAGCATCGTGTACAACAAGAATCACTGGGTTCCAAACCTAGATGTACTGTTAAAAAAAAAAAAAGAGAGAGAAGAGAAGAAAAGAAAAGAAAAAGAATCACCAGGGGCCGGGGGCGGTGGCTCACCCTTGTAATCCTAGCACTCTGGGAGGCTGAGGCAGGAGGATCGCTTGAGGTCAGGAGTTGTAGACCAGCCTGAGCAAGAGCAAGACCTTTCTCTACTAAAAACAGAAAAAACTAGCCAGGCATGGTGGCACAGGCCTGTAGTCCCAGCTACTCCAGAGGGGGAGGCGGGAGGATGGCTGGAGTCCAAGAGGTTGAGGATGCTGTGAGCTATGATGCCGCCACTGCACTCTAGCCTGGGTGACAGAGTGAGACTCTATCTCAACAAAAAAAATCACTGGGGAATTTCTGCATTTCATGAATTTCTACCTACACCAAAAAGTCATTATTTAATAATTTTCATTGGACATCAATTATAAAGAAGACTTACTTCTGTGGCTTATTAAGCAAGATATAGTGAATAGATTTTAACTTACTTTATTGGTGATCAGAGCAGTGGTTCTGAACCAGGGGCAATTTTGCTGCTAAGAGGACTTTGGCAATATCTGGAGACATTTTTTGTTGTGAAACTCAGCAGATATGTATGTGTACTACTTACTATCTAGTGGGTAGAGGTCAGGGATGTTGCTAAACATCCAACAATGCACAGAATAGCTCCCCTACAACGAAGAACTATTAGAGACAAAATGCCAGTAATGCTAAGTTTGAGGAACCCTGATCTCAAGATCAATTGACTCTATTTTGCTAGAACATAAAATACCACCATGGAAATTCTTTACCCTCAGATATGATGGTCTTACTTGGAATAATTTCTGGATCTTAAAGTTACCTTTTTTACACAATAAGCACAGTAAACTGACATGGAATGATTAATGAAAGACATGTTAGTGACAGTGTATAAAACAGTTCTGAGTCCACTGCAGGTACTCAATCAACTTTGAATGCCTGGCTGTCTTTACTCTTATAAACTGTGACTAGTTATTTTGTATTAAGAAAGCGTCTCGAAACTAGAAAAGCATCCTTTTAGAACCATGCACACAGTAAAACTAGACTAGCTCAGGTATATAAACTTTATTGGTATTTACATTTGGAATTATAGGCCTTTTTCCCAACTGTAATGATATTTAGAAAAGTGTTCTCTCTTTTATACTTCAGATTTTTGAAGCAACAGAGGGTGAAAGTTCTAAGTGTAAGGCTCTCAGTTGAGATGGCTGCATATCTCTGAATCCCAGTTCACTTACTTACTAGCTGTTAAGTTTTCTGTCCCTCAATTTCCTCATTTGTAAAACGGGGATAAAAAGCCCTCCCTTTGTAGAGTTGCTATGAATATCACAAGTCAAGACATAGCATAATACCAGACTTGTAGTAAGAGCTCTAGAATAGGAGCCATTATCATTTTCCACTCTTGTCTCCTTGGTCCAAGAACCTCTTATTCTCCCAATTCTACCCCACTCAGACAGCATTGTCACCCATTCCAGATTATGAGATTCTGCCCAGGAGAGCCTATCTTTGGTGACTGGTACATGGTAGTTTGCCAAAAACTATGTGTTGAATGATGAGCAGAGGAATGGAAGGATATTATTTCAGGATATCAAGTGTACTCTGGATAATCAAGAACTAAAAGGCATCGCTACATCACGCTATTTTTTCTACTGTGGTTAAAAAATATCAAAATGAATACTTATCCTTCCCAATAATGAACACAGGAGTCAACTTAAGCTTTCATATGTTTCGAATACTGAGTAAATTTCTCAACAGTCTTGCCTGAGAATCTTTACCCTAGCAAGATTTTCTCAGT